AGTTGCAACTTAATTGCACCATAAGGAAATTTAATTGCACCACAAGTTGCAACTCAATTGCACCATTTTTTTTAATTATGGTGACCATCTTTAGTCTTCTCTATTTTTAACCACCAATTACCTTTATAAGGTTCACTAAATATTCTCATTCCACTATTTATATCTTTTTTTAGGATTTCTTTATAAACAAAATTATTGGCTACTTCTGATCACTGTAAAAGTATTTGAATTACATGAAAAACTGGCTGATAATAAAATTCAAATTTAACTTTAAAGTAAGTTGCAATGATCTTTTCTTTAAAGTTTAACGAAGGAAAATTTATCTGGTTAAGGTAATATTTACTGTTTTTAGTTAATTTAGGTAATGAAAAGTCTTTTAAATTACTGGTGTTTGTTAAATAATTTAATTATTTATCTCCAATTTTATTAGAAATATTGCTATCTATTATTAATTTCATAAAATCACAATATGCATCATTAGGCCATTTTGTGATATATTCAGGTTTATTCTTTTCTTCAATAGTCTCTAAAGCATTATCTAAACTAGCCCTTTAAAGATCTTTAAGATTAAAGTCAGATTCTTCTAGTAATTACAATTCTATTTCTAACTTCTCAATATTCTCTTCTAAATCCTCATTATTTTCTTCGATATTATCTTCTATTTTTACATTTTGTTTTTGATGTTATAGATCATATCTTGGTTTATTTTTATTTATATTATTATTTTTAGATATTACATCTTCTATCATATAATCATCATTATTATTAACATATGTTTTTTCTAAGTTAGGCAAAAAAAGTAATGAAAATATTGATTATTGCGACTGTGATTGTAACTGCAATTGTATCTGTAATATCACAATTAGTATATTTCACAAACTTTATTGTGTTCTAATCTTATTGGTATATGTTCTAATCTTTGTGATCATATATAAGATCTCAAAGAAAGTATGTTTTTCCATTATGTTTAACTTTTTCATGCTATTTTAATTCACCAGCCGTTGAAAATTCTTTATTACAAATTTTATAATGATAATTTACCATGGTTATTTTTTTAGAATAAATGTAAATGATCACAAAGTTAATTGAAGTGATAATTCATTCAGGAATTTATAATTATAATATTTTACTGATATCATATTAATGGATATTTTAAACAATTAATTTTAATTAATTATATCAATGATCATATCATATAAACAAGTTATCTTTAAAATTAATTACATGAATATTTTATGTAAAATTAGTATATTTTATTAATATTTGAATCATGAATTTCTTTCTTATTTTTAATTCAATTTAATTCATTTACTTTTGATAAAAACTTTCTTTTGATTCTTTTCTTTGCTTATATTAAAATTAAACTTTTTTCTTTAAAAATCCTAATTCATTTCTTATTATCTCAAATTTTCTTTGACAATTCTCAATTCCTTTTTTTTTATCTTGAATTTTCTTTAATGATCTTTAATTCCTTTCTCCATTTATCTCAAATTTTAAATTTTTTCCCTTAACGATACTCTAATTCCTTTCTGACTTATTAACTATATGTCTAATAATAAAAACAAAGAAAGAATTCTGTAAGTGAATCATCGCTTAGAATAGAGCAATTATAATCTAAAGCTTTATAAACTATTGAGAATAAATTCTCTCAAAAGTTAATGCATAAATAATATTTTAGTTTATATATATATTTTTAGGTTTGGTAATATTTTTAATTTTATTTAAAAGGATCAAAATTATCAACTGAAAGTTCTACTTCAATGAGTATAACTAGTAGTATACAAAAGAGGATATATGACCAATTAGTCAAACCAATCAAACTAGTTGTACTAGCGTTTGTAGACATTATTACTATAAAAAAAACTATTATTGATTCTATCACTTCAAAAAAACATCTGATGCTAATACTAGAATAGTTCATAATAAGTTTTTTGATCTGACTATTAGTAACAATTATAATTATAATAATAGATTTGAAGACTACCGTGATAATAAAAACAAAAATGACTCCCACTATAGCGATAGTTATGATTCTTTTAATACTCACAGTAACCTTGATGAGTTTGATCATGACATTGGTCGAAGTTCACAATCTTAAAGTTAATGATCAGTAAGTTAATAATTCGTAAACTAACGAAGATAATACTTATTTAACAAAGAAAGATTTTAATTATGCGATAGAATTAATTGACAGGAAACTTACTTTAGTATACAAACTTTGTAAATTTATTTCCAAAGTTTAACAAGCTGAAAAAAATCTTTAAAAAAACTCGTTGCATTAGATGAACTCACTGACTCCTTCTGAAATGTGAGTTATTTAGTATATTTAGATTTATTTCAATCTTTAAAATACTTACAATGTTATATATGTAACATGTCTATAAAGAAGTAACCAAGCAATTACTTCTAATGGTTTTATTTTTATCAACTATTAAATATTATAAAACACTTAAAAAATATCTTACAGAATATGCTAGTTATTTTATTGATAGTATTGGAAGAAACAGTTAGATCTCTTTATTTAAGAAAAATTACTTTCAGAAGTAAACAAAAACTTATAATTCAATAATATAGTATTACTAAAAAATGTTCATAATTTTATCTTTATTTTTAGATTAAAATTAAATTTTGAAGCAAGCAAAATGATTTAGCAGCTAATATTCGACATGCAATATTTATCATATTCAGTGATCAGTATCTAGATTATATTGATGATAAAACACCTTCTATAAAGTTTGTAGAGTAGAAGACAAGTGAAAAAACTCAGGCTGCATATTGTACACTTTCAATGATTATGAATTACTTACGAAGATTAGATATACTGTATTCAAAGGGTATAAAAAAAAACTATTTACTATATATTGCACTTACGTTCTTATAATATGTAATATCCTTTAAATCCAAAAAGCTCTGAAATTAAATGCAATGATAAATCTGTTATAAAATAAGTCAATGCTTTTTTGGTAATTGATTTTGTAGAACTTAACTAAAAATAATTTTTTAAATATTAAATTATATTTTGTCTAAATAACAGTATGCATTTGAAAATCATAATCCATTAACTTCTGAAATAATAGAAAAAATAGCTGATGATAAAAGGAAAGATGAGAATGTGAATAGGAAAAACAGAAGTTTTTGCAAACCTTAAATTTTGGAAGTAATGAAGCCACTATTGAAGAAGAATTTGACAATTATGATAACTTCATAAGTAGATCGTTAACTTGTCAGTTTATCACATTTTGAATTATTTTACTAAAAATAAATATTTTTAAATTATCAACTTAGACAAATCATTTTGATTATAATAGACTGTGATGATTTTTAAAGAAATATTTAATATTTAGATATTTTTTATTTTTGCTAACACAAAATTTTATTTCAAATTTATATTTTATTTGCGTTATTTGGTGAGTTAGTATAGTATTTTAGTTTATTATACTATAAAAATAAAGCTTATACATTAATATAATTTAAAATATATAATGATACAAGTTCAAAATATTATTTGTAAAATACACTGCATATTTTTTTCATAAAAACCTTCACAGAAATTTATGCTTGAAAAATCTATGCAGAAATATATTTTTTTTCTTCAGAATACTGTGCTAGGGTTAAAAATCTGCGTATAAAATAGACCTTACAGAACTTCACAGATTTTAATTAAAAAAATCCCCAATGTAAAGCAACAAGTTATTTTGAACATGATGCTAGTATAGTTGGAAGATAGGTAAAGGCAAGTTCAGGCTGAACTGAAGTAAACTAAAACAGCAAGCAAATTGGTTTAGGTTAAAAATCTTTCTATTCTGAAGTTGAAAAAAAGTTGTATGACTGAATTATTGGATAAAGAAAGTAAGGTTTAGCAGTAACTTATGCAATTGTAAAAGTTAAAATGTTAGATATTTTAAAAAAAGATAATGTAGCATTAGCTGTGATATCAATATTAATAATAGTAGCAGCAGCAATAACAATAACAACAACAGCAATGGCAGCAAAGAATTTTAAAATATCTAATAAATAGATGTTTTTATTTATGAAAAAAAATAAACTAGCTTAGCAAAGACGTACAAGGGTTTCTTAAAAATTACCTACACAAACTGAAGAATTATTAGAAAAGTTTTATCAATTTATTATCTAACTTAGGATTAAAAAATCCTTTGAATATATAATATTCTCAATATAGATGAAACTCCTGTTTAGTTTAATATAATCAGAAATTTTATAATTAGTTTAAAGAGTGAAAAACAATTCATATCTGTGCAATAAGCAATGAAAAAAATTGATTTACAGTTATTTTAACATGTATTGCAGGTAAGAATTTTTAAATAATTTTTTGTGAAATTTTATGAAGTTTATAAGTAAATTAGTGGTTTTAAAGTCATTTAGATATTTTAATCCCAACTCTAATTTTTCTTATTAACAACTTCATTTAAAATATTAAAATTAAACTTATTTTTTAGATAGAACAAATATTCTCCAATTTGCATATTCAAGGGGAAACGATTAGCAAGTGGAAAATGTATTTTTTCTGGTATATTTATCTGATTTTAAAAAAATGGTTAGATGGATTTTGAATTGATAAAGTGATATATTAATTATCTTAATAATGAAAAAGATAATAATGGATTTAGAACACTAATATTAATAGTCTATAATTCCTTTAGAGGACATTTAGAAGGATTAGTAAGGAAAAGTTTAAAGAATATAATTATAACTTAGCAATTATTTCAGATGGCTTAACCAGTATATGTTAACCTCTTGACGTAGCTATTAATAAACTATTTAAAGATAATTTTAGAAAGAAGTGGTATTTATGAATGGCCAATGGTGATATTGATCAAACTGCTAGAGGTAATCTTTAACGTGTTAAGATTGATGATGTATGTGGATGGTAAAACAATCATAGAAGTAAATTTCTGATAAGATTATTATTAATTCTTTTAAATCTTATCATATATCTAATATATTAGATAAATTAGATATTAGTGATAATAATAATACAGAAGATGATTGTGATAAAGAAAATATTAGTGACGATGATATTAAGTAGTTAAAATTATCTTTTATTTCTTTTATTTGTAATTACAATAATTCTTACAATAATTCTTAATAAAATCCATTATAATTTTGAGAAGATGCTTAATTTTAGCATATATATAAATGTGAGGGTGCTTATTTTTGGAAGATGCTTATTTTTGAGAGTATATAATACTGTTATAATCAGTTCTTATAAGTGATAAGCAAAGCAATATTTTGTAGTGATAAGTAGAAGGTTTATTTTATAATTAGTTTTAGAAGAGTGTCAATCAATTAACAGTTTATTTAATAATGATAACAATAGAGTACTACCTCAATCAGCGTTCTGTACTATATAAGTATGTTAAGAGAATTAAACTAAACTATTTTATAAAGCTACTTATTGAACAAACTGCTAAGCTAAAAGAAAATATCCTTTATTTATATAAAATGAAATATATAAAATTATTGAAAATATAAAAGAAATTAATAAAATATATGAAATAAATATAATATAATAAATATATAAGATAAATAAAATAAAAGAAATATATTATATAAAAGAAATATATTATATAAAAGAAATATATTATATAAAAGAAATATATTATATAAAAGAAATATATGTTATAGATGACATAGAAAATGTATAAGACACATATAATTTCCTAAGGATTGATATCATTCTTTTGATCATCATTATCTATGTCTTCTTCTATATAATATTACTAATCTCAATATCATTATCATCAGAATTAAATTATTATCTCATACTTTCTATTGATAAGAAAATAGAACCTCTTTTATAATGATAAGCATATACAAAAGAATATTCAATTTTAAGTAAAATAGCACAATATTATCTTTCAATCTAAGCTACTAGTATTACATCTGAGCAAGCATTTTCAGTTGCAAAAAATATAATTATTAAAATACATAATTATTTATTATCAGAAATGGCAAGAGTATGTCTTTATATGAAGAGTTAGATATTAAATAAAATAAAAGGATAGTGTTTAATCGAATTTATATATAGTTAATTTTAATTATAACAAATTTAATAAAATAAAACATAAAAAATTAAATAATAATATATATAAAAATATAATAAAACTTTTCTAAATTTCTTTATTTGTATTGAAAAGGTATTTTTTCTTTTTAATTTAAATGATAAATATTTAAATATATTATTAATATTCAAAAATTTAATTAAATAATATTAGATCAGTTATTTAAAACTGATTCAAACTGGATATTTAGAATTGGTTTAAGAAATTCAGTTCAGACTGATTATTTAGAACTAGTTCAAAAAATCCAGTTCAGTTTAGTTTTATTATTAGAATCAGGTTTATAGAACTAAAACCTAATTGAACTGAACTTCTCCATTCCTATCTCTCATGCATTGAAAAAAATTCTTAGAGCAGAGCTAATAGAATGATTAAAATATATGTGATAATTTAATACTTTTTATGCAGTTTAAAGAATAATTTCTTTTATTATAAGCTAATAAGATAAATATACTATCATTTCAGATCTCATTCTTATAAATAGATCATATAATATCATTATTTATTAAAAAATAAATATTAATAACTAATCTGAAGAAGTATTCAGAGAAGTTTTAATTAATACAAAGATTCTTCAGCACATAGATTACTAGCAAATCCAATAGCTTGATCTATAACCCTTCTTAAATCATTTTGTAAAATTCAGAGATCTTCTTCTATTTCTTGATAAATGATTGAGATAGCTGTAATATTTTCTTGATTACTAAAAAATTATAAATTTAGAATATAGTTCAGAAGACATAATTAATATAATTAATATTAATAAAAAATAAATAAACTTTTCTAAGTTATTCTAAAGTAACAAAATATATTTTAACAATTTGATAATTTAACTCTTAGTAATGTATATTATTTTATATTTTATAATTTATTTATTTATTTAAAAATTTATTTATTAAAAAAACTTAAATTATAATTTTTATTTTTATTAAATTTAGCGTTAGATAGTTAAATCATACTATAAAATAATTTAATTTGAAATTTTATTATTTTAACGCTTAATCAAAAAGAATATTTG